TCCTTTCCACAGGGCACCTTCTCACTCATCATTGAGGCTCTGCATACAGATTCTCCTGATGACCTCACCACAGGTAACTGTCCTGAAACAAGATCTTCCCCGGAATAATCCCAGCCCTGCAGCCCCTCTCTCTGCAGTGTGCAGCGCATTCCCCACATCCCATCCCTGCTCCTCTTTGGGAGACCATGAGAAGAGAGGCCAACCTGTTAGCACACAGGCCTGTCATCCTGCCTCTGCGGTTCCCCTCCCACCGGAGACCCCTAGTTGAACATTTCCCTATGCATAGCCCTGCCTGCTTTGGGCTTCCTAATCATGCCTCTTCACTTTCACACAGAAAACCCCGAGCGCCTCATCAGCCGTCTGGCCACTCAGAGGCACTTGGCGGTGGGTGAAGAGTGGTCCCAGGACCTGCACAGCAGCGGCCGCACTGACCTCAAGTACTCCTATCGCTTCGTGTGCGATGAGCACTACTATGGAGAAGGCTGCTCTGTCTTCTGCCGCCCCCGAGATGATGCTTTTGGTCACTTCACTTGCGGAGAGCGTGGCGAGAAAGTCTGCAACCCAGGGTGGAAAGGCCAGTACTGCACTGAGCGTAAGTGTCCATCTTCTTGTCTCCACTGGTACCAGCTGCAGCAGTGTCCCCAGAGCTCTTGGGGGGGCATTTCTCTGACATCAGGGCCCACGGGAAAGGGGGAACCAAGCTACAGTGGGTGGAGGTCTGGTGCTGTGTACAGACTTTACTAGTGTGGGAGACAGGAAGTTCTCAGCATTGCCACAGAGGGTTAGTGTAGACAGCTCCTTCTCAAATTAATAAAATGTCAGTGCCAACATTGCACTCTTGCTTATTTGCTGTAGATTTGAAGATTTGCTGTATCAAATCTGACAGCAAAATGTTCAGCAGTTGCTTGAGGATTTATTAAAATATATCAGGACTAGTTTTTATATCTAGCCACCCCTTCAACCGTGGTACATTGATATCATCTACTGGCTACATGGCTTCAGGAGAGGGAGCTAGGCAGCATTCATGTAGGAGGCCTGTTGTCAGGCTTGTTATGGTCTGGTGTCTTGCCACCTTGTATTGAGAAAAGTATTGAGAGGTCCAAAATATTTTCTGTGGCCTTTAGACAGTACATTTCTCATTTGGGGTACTCACAAACAGCCACTAACAGAGCTTGTTGCACCTAGAGCTACAAGAACATTCAACTTCCCCATTTCTCTTCTGTGCCATTGCAATGATTGTTACTACTAATAAAGTAGTGAGGGACATGAGTTTTAAAGTATGCCTGAGCTCGAAGTTGTTGTGGAATGTGGTGTGTTGATACACGAAGAAAAGCTGGGACAGTAAGCAGATCCCAGAGAGGATAGTCAGGGATGTCAGATACCTGCAGCTTTTCCGAGGTTACTGCCCTTTGTAGATAGGTAGCAGTGTACACCCAAACATGCACACAGAGCTCCTGCTGCAGCATGCGATGGCATTCTCTGTTTGTGTGTATACAGGGATCTGAACTATGCTGGCAGATGACGTACTGGGCGAGTGCTCCTCTCCAGTCATCAAAGGGCCAGGCAGGCAGGGAGAAAACAGTTACGGGCTGTAAAGCAGCCTCTCGATTTCCTCCTTGTTGTGCTTTGTTTTTCTTAAAGCCCACCTACACTGTGGTCTCAGCTGAGCTGCTCTCAAACAAGCTCAGATTGATTATTCACACTGTTAGCGACTGCTAGGATGCTTTTAGCAGTTCATGGTACAATGTTGCACAATAAACAGCAGGCAGAGGGGCTTGCATTTCCTTTCATAGTGTTTTAAATAGGAACTACAACCTTTCCCATGATCGAAAGTGCCTAGTGCAGTCCTGTCAGGGGGTGGGGAAAAAGGAAGCATTTTGATAATGAGCTCTTTCAGGGCTGTCAGCACTTTTGGATGTTTGTACATCGCCGCTTTTCCCACAGCAAAGTAGAAGGCTGTCTGTCTTTCTTGTCTCCTGATGTACGCTCTTCGCTCTGCTTTCCCTCTCAGGAAAAAACAGCTTATAACAGCCGCACAGACCTACTAGGCAGGGGAGATGTGTTTATGTGTGCATGCAAAAAGAATGTTTTGCCGTTAGCGATCGGAGCTGCCAGTCGCAGATTGCTTCCCGTCGCCTTGCCCCAGCTCCATTCTTTCCAACTTGGAGGCGATTTGATTATCAGTGCCGATTCTTTCTTTCTTTTTCTTTCCCCCCGCCCCCCCGCTTCCCCTCGCATACCATTGTCTCCGGCTGGCTTTGTTGAATTAAAACTTTGCAGTGCCTGCTTAATGAGTTCCATAACCAGGCAAAGTAATGAGCAGAAGTCCCTTTTTTTCCCTTCCCTCATCCTCCCTCCTGCTGGCCCGCTTACCTCTTTTACCAAGGCTGTAACCACCCGCCCACCCCTTTTCGGAGCGGGGCGGAGAGGGGGGAAGGAGGGAGGAAGA